CGCATGCACGCATGTTCTGCTTTGGGCACTCGGTGCTTGAAAAGGGTCGCCATCCCTGCGGCCTAGCCCATCTCCTTTTCCCACCCAGAAGCCGGTGTGAAATTAACTGGTGTCTGTTTTGGTTTCCTTTGTGGGGCCGTCCCATCATTTGAGACCAGGAGAAGGGACAATGGAGCCTTTAGCCGTTGGAGGACCCTGGGCCTTGGCCTAAAGCACCACTGATTTGTTTGTCTTCTCTAGGGGGAGCATTTTGGGACCACGGAAGCCACCGAAGCCTTCTTTGCGATGACAAGATTATTCCAGTCCAACGATGTGAGTGATTTCTTCGCTGGGACCCTTGTTTTCCTATTCCTGGGTTGGGGGCTGCTGGCAACCTCCTTAGGGGTGTCCTTCCTTTAAAACGGGGTCTACAGCCTTGGCCACCTTAAGACTTCTGGACTTCAACTCCCAGAATTCCCCAGCCAGCTATGCTGGCTGGGCAATTCTGGGAATTGAAATCCACAATTCTTAAGGTGGCCAAGGTTGGAAACCGCCACCCACCCACCCACCCCACCCCCAATGCTCAAAGGCCCTTAGACAGGTCTTGTGCAGTGATAAAACTGCAGTGGCTCAGCAACCCCTTGGAAAATTCAACTTTAATTGTGGTCTTTCTGCAGCAAACCTTAAGGAGAATGTGTTACCTTACCATCAAAGAGATGGCCAACATCTCAGAAGACGTGATCATCGTCACCAGCAGGTATCTGGTCTTGATTCTGGGGTTAGAAGCATCATATTTCAGCTGGAATAAGAATAGGAATAGGAATTGGAACGGAATAGAACAGAATAGAATAGATTATGGAATGGAGAAGAGAATAAGAAGAGAAGAGAAAAGAAGAGAAGAGAAAAGAGAAGAAAAAAGAATATGGAATGGAGAAGAGGAGAAGAGAAGAGAGAATAGAATAGAATATGGAGAATAGAATACGGCATGGAGAGTAGAATAGAATAAAACAGAACAGAATAGAATAGAATAAGGAATAGAACAGAACAGAATATGGAATGTATAGAATAAGAAGAGAAAAGAGAAGAGAAAATATGGAATGGAGAATAGAATAAAAGAAGAGAAGAGAATCTGGAATGGAGAATAGAATTATTTCCATTCCCAGCCAGAACTAATCTTAAACAGTTCCCCAAGATAAGCACACGCCTTTTGGTTCTGTGGAATGCTGCCAAAAACAGAAGTATCCAATTAACTATAAAAGAAACCAACCGAAGTACAAGAAAAAAACCGACCAGAGTTCACAGAGCTTCAAGGAGGACTCAGAACCGATCGAACTACTTTGCTTCCTGCAAAGGTTTCGTCATTGAGGTCTGACTTTTATCCCTTATGGGAGGGGCAGCTGAGGAAGCTTCTGGATGTGAAGCGAAATGTGTCTCCAAAGCAAAACCAGAAAGTCCAGTTGCCTCTTGAAAAATAAAAAAAGCACTTTTGAGACCATGATGACCTGGAGGACTGAGAATCTCCATAATCATCTTAATTCGAGTGTTGTGTTTTGTGTTTCAGCCTAACTAAAGATATGACAGGGAAAGAAGACGTTTACCGAGGCCCGGCAATCCGAGCCCTGTGTCGGATCACGGATGTGAGTATGACATCTTTCCAGTTGTAAAAGAGGAGGATGAAAACGAGGGATGTTTTGGGTCATGGATGAGATTTTGAACCCCCGGCTGAATGCTGGGGGGTGGGGGTGGGGTCTCCGGAGATGCGGCCTCCAGCCTCAGTTTCTTTTATAGGTAGTCCTCAACTTACCACCACGGTTGTGAGTCATGATGATTGTCAGGGCTCCAGTAGTAACCCCCATTTAAATCATGAGTCTCTAGCCTGATTTTCAAAGCTCAAAAAAGATTCATTAGGAGAAGAAATGCCGGTGTAGCCAACACTGAGGCACATCATTCATGGTCACCCTTGACCCTGGTCCCCGTCCCCCCCGGGCATATCGTAATTCATATTCTCCAATGGGATACCTCCATAGCCCAGAGTCACCAATCAGGCTCTCCAGTTAGAATTTTCCCCGGCAGAAACTTCAGTCACCTGGAAACTATCTTTGAAAACATTTATGGAATACAGTTTCTGTTTTGCAGCCGCTGCATTGCTCCCCTCTCCCTTTTCGTTGGCAACTCTAAAAAGACCCTAGAAATATTTTATGAGTTGATAACGACGATCGGGAAACAGACCATCGCCCAACCGATGGGGCATCGTCAGCTGGGGAATTCCAGGAGCTGGAAGTCCAGCCATTTTAAAATGGCCGATGTTTGGGAACTGCTGGCTGAGAGCAAGGGTCTTGCCAAACTTGGCAACTTGAAGACTTGTGAACTTTCAACTCCCAGCCACTATGACTGGCTGAGGAATTCTGGGAGTTGAAGTCCACCCATCTTAAAATGGCTTAAGGTTGAGTAACTGCTGTGGCCTGTTGGCCCCTGGGCCCTCCAGCAGCCGAATCAGAGGTGGAGGAGGAGGCGTGGGAGTCAAGGTCAGCATCAGGGCAACCTGGGAGCTCCGAGGGGGAAGAGGGAACGATGCTGTCAGAGAGACAGAGACAAAGCCTGGGCCGTCCGTCAGCCCTCAGATGGAAAGTCAACAGCCCCCAGGTCTGGAGGTGGCTGATGAGGAAGAGGAGGAACAGCTGGGTCCAGTGCCTGATACGTAGATATGCAGAAGGCAGAGGAGAAGAGAGCAGTGGAAATCTATAGGCCGGTCCTTGGGACGGAAGAGCCACCGCAGCTAAAATAAAGGAATCATTGCTTCAACTGCAGAGGGTTTGTCGTGTTTGGGGAGCTGGGTCAAAATAGAAGCACTAAATTGCTGGCTGAGGAATTTATTTTATTTTATTTATTTATTTGATTTGCCAATTGTTTACAAGATAATAAGTATAAGTGTATACATAGTTGTGAATACATGAAATGGGTACATATAAGAAAAATAAAAGAATAAGAGAAACAATAGGACAGGGACGGTAGGCACGTTGGTACGCTTATGCACGCCCCCTATTCTGGGAGTTGAAGTCCACAAGTTGCCACCTTTTGGACTCCTCTGGTTTTGGGGGGGCAATTGGTTTCCACAAATGTGAAGGGCTAGAAGCTTAACCTTTTAAGCCAGACAGCGAATATCCTCGGCCAACAAAATTACTCAGCTTTGTTTTGTGAAATACTAAAGGTCCTCCAGCGAACGTAATTCCATCTTCTGTCATTTCTGGCCAATGTGCCATTAGAAAGTCTGATCTCGCCTCCATTCTTCTCGCTTTCTCAGGGAACGATGCTCCAGGCCATCGAGAGATACATGAAGCAAGCCATTGTCGACAAAGTCCCCAGCGTGTCCAGTTCTGCCTTGGTGTCGTCTTTGGTGAGTAAAGAAGGGCCAGAGCTCTCGATCCCGTGATCTAAATTTGAATTCTGGGCAACCAGCAGGTATTTTCGACAAGCAAAGTCTATGACAGAAGCCAGATTTGCTTAACAAACCCGCGATTCATTTAACGACTGGGTGTTCTGACCCAAACCTTGTTCCAAGGAAAACAACACCAAACAGAGGTAACAGCAAAAACCTTTTAATGATTCTTTACTCGTTCCGTTCCTTCCCAGTGAAAAGGCTGTTTCAAACTAATGAAGGATGAGCCTTGCGAAAGTGGTGCAAGGCTGCCAAGAACTCTAGATAAAGTTGCTAAGAAATATTTCAACACAAAGAGTCTCCAAACACACCAACCAAGATATTCTGAACATCCACAAGGCTTGAGTGGAAAAATGTCTTTGCTTCCTGCAAAGAACTCCGGTTTCTCAGCTGGCTTTTATCTCTTTAGGGAGGGGCCATTACCTTGCAGCCTTCCTCCCAAGTCGCCCGTGCTGCTGCAGCTGCTCTTTCCTTCAAGCAGCCCTGCGCACACACGCACTTGGCACAGGCTCCTCGGGGGCCTCTTCCTCACCGCTGCCAGCCTCCACAACCTCCGAAGGCAGCACTCCACTCTCTGATGGTCCTGGTCCCATCCCTGCATCACACACAGGCTCCTCACCTGAGTCCTCACTCTCCGAGACCTCAGCCATCCGCACCTGCTGCCGGCGAACCACAACACTGGGCCGGGGTGGGCTTCAAAAATTTTAACAAGGGGTTCTCTGCCCTATTGTTGGGTGGACGTGACCATGGTGGACGTGGCTAGTCGGCCTCCTGCACCATAGCGGGGGGAGCGTTCTTGTCCTCCCTGGGCTTCTGAGGAGCCTTCATGCAGGCCCTGTACCCTTACCTGCGATTCAAAATGGGCTGCATGGTGTCTCCTGGGAGGGACGGGGCAGGCGGAGCCAGCCAGGGATGGGATTTGCTGGTTCGCCAAACCAGCCATCAAAAAAAATGATAAAATTCGCTACAGCTTCTCCTGAACCGGGGAGAACCAGGTAAGTAGCCCCCCCCCCCCCTGAACTGGGCTGTATCTAACAACACAAAATGGAGTGTAGAGAAAAGGAAGGGTTTTTAACATTTAGGCAAGTGAAAACCAAATGCACAAGTATAGCGTGACCTGGGGGTGCGAGACGATATTCCAGGGGGTACGAAAACTTGGGTTCAGAAGTTTCAAAACGATAGCACGTATGTATAATTACCCTGTTTCTCCCAACAATACGGCCTCCCCCAATAGGACGTCCCAGCATGTTTTATAGGCATGAAATGAAATGAAGCCCCTCCCCCCCAAATTAAGGCCTATATTAAAACATGCGAAATGGGGGGGAATGGCGGGGGGGCTTGCCGTTAGGAAGTACTTTTGTTGCACACCCGGATATGGTGCTGCCTGCGTTGACCCCGATACGAAGTGCCCCACCAACGCCAAGGTCAACATCCAAACCGTCGCCACCCGCCCGAACATGCAAGGGGGGGAGGAATTAAGTCACCCCCGAAAAGACGGCCTAGCCATTTTTGGGGGGCTCAAAAAAAAATAAGACCCGGCCTTATTATATGAGAAACACGGTATATGTATATCATTATTTACTTTTTTAAGGGGTGTGAGAATATATCAGAAGCGTTCTAGGGAGTGGTGGGATTCAAATAATTTAACCACCGGTCCTCCGCCCTA